GAATAAAACATTACTTGAAATATTTTATAAATGAAAGTAAGAATTTGTTTTTATGTGGTGAAGGCGCCGGGTCAACTCGAGGTATTCATATTAGAAATACGAAAGTATTTAGGTTTGACCCTTATTTCTGCTTAAACCAGTTGACCAATTCTGCTTAATTTTGATATAGAAGTATGTTATACTCAAAAAAAGGTCACAACATTTTTATACCGCAAAAGTAAAACTTAAAAAACCTGCGTTCACGCATATAAGTTTCTAGAAGCCACTAATTAAACTAAATTTCTAGTATTTTTTTTAATAATTATGCCACTATATAAGCTTAAACTTTATTTAAAAAAATATTTTCTACTTAATTGCATAAGTAAATTACTTCATCTATGTTACATTTATGCGCAATGCAAACAATCTATAATACAAAAATGAATCGCAAAATTGGTTGGTAAGCGCATAACTGAACAACGCCTAAACCAATTTGGCCAATTCTTTTTTTAATGTTTGTAAAAGTCCAAGGATGGATTTTACGGCGAGAACAATTCGAATAATTGCCGGGAAAATCCTAAAAACAGCACTTTTCTATAGGATAAACATTGGCATTGAGATTCAATCATAGTTATAGTTAAATAGTTGAATCCGAGATGGCGCGCTGAAGTAAATTATTAGCAATTCTTTATATAATTTATTTCTTTATAATAAAATTGCGAATCTTATTGATAGAATTGACACGTATTACATTTTATTAAACAATACCGGGATGAGGGAGGTCGCTGGCAAATAGTAATCAATAAAACCAAATATTACATAAATTTTACCAACAAGTCAACGTTATATTTCAATTTATTAATCAGAAATGATACGTAACATATCAAAACCAAGTAAGCTATGTAATTTCTCTCTGAAATTAACCAAATTCTATCATTTAATTTGAAATTTATCCAATTTAAATTTTAGGTTAGCCAATTAATAACTGCATGAATATATAACGTAATGGAGCATTAAAATATTTCTCTAAATAAATACTGCTCTTAGTGCTTTACTCAACTCATTGAAATTGAAAAGCAGTTTTAAATATTCAAATTTATTTCCAATCAGCATTTGCTTTGAAAAAACCTGCTCGCGCATAAAATAAAAATTTACAATTTAAATCGATCTGAATCAATCTGAAGTGAATCGCCCCGTCCAGGCCGAATAAATTTGAATTCATAATCGATATCTGAGCATCCTGAAAAAAAACAGAGCCCTAGATAAAACATTCATTTATTTACACTAAAGAACTTCTACTTTTAGTTTTGCGTGTTTGAGTAAACTCGAAATTCCGCACACTGAATTTTACATTTACAATCCGCTATAATCGAGAAATAATTGAAGCAATCGAATCCGTAACTTAATTGAATCAATTAAAATGCAATTTGTACTCAACAAATAATACAGAATACATTTACATTGCGACGCGCGTAATTAAAATTCAAATAGTTTATTTTAATTACAAATTTACATGCTGTTTGATTGTGTGGAGGTGCCGGGCATTTAAGCTTTCATTCTGTTTTAAATTAATTTTCTTATTCTATATTCTAATGAAACCAATGAAACTTGTGGCCTTGAGTGCTGGCGCTTTGTTTTATTTCTCTACACTTTTAATGATTGCAGTAAAGCTCCTCGTTAGTGAAGTTTTATGTTTCACTGTCAGCAAAGAAAAAGTATTAGAGTTTTCTGTTTCGTTTTCTGAATCTGTTAGTTTTTTTTCTTCTTTATTTAACGTTTGAGTCTGTTACCAAGTTACATTTAATTTAATTATCTGTTTCTCATTAGGGATTTGTTAATTGTTGAAGATATTGATTTAACTATTATCTGAAAATTAAAAAAAAAATCATTTGTATATAATTACTATCTAAAAATGTAGTTCGTTTTTAGTCTCATTTTCTAGACACAGTATGTGTCAATTCTTTCAATAAGATTCGCAATTTTATTTTAAAGAAATTAATTATATAAAGAATTCAACTATTTAACTATAACTATGATTGAATCTCAATGTCAACTTTTATCCTATAGAAAGAGCTGTCTTTAGGATTTTCCCGGCAATTAATCAAAATTTTCTCGCCGTAAAAACCACCCTTGGACTTTAACGAATATTAAAAACAATAATTGTCCAAATTGGTCGAGGCGTTGATGAGTTATGCGCTTACCAACAGATTTTGCGATTTATTTTTGTATTTTAGATTAGTTTGTAACACTCCTCATTGATGTCGTAATCACCACCATCTTATCCTATATATAATTTTAAAAATTTTCAATATATTTTTGATATAAAACGAAATAAATCTGAAATCCAAATAAATATATCTAATTAAAATGCAAAAGTCCGTTAGACTCAAAAGATGTAAGTAAAGCAACGGAATTTCTTCATTTCCGCAAAATTCCCGCACCGGGTCCTTTGTGCCTTCGACCGTATCATCATTGCGAGAACTCCCCTTCTCCCACACGGTTCTTATAACTTTGGCAAAGGTTTACTGTTTGATGTTCGAGTTGAGCACAGGATGCTTCCTGCGTGCTGTAAGTTTAAAGTTGCGCACTGAAAGTGCCACTTTGTGCTCAGAGTGTTAACTTCAACATAAACTGCAAATACGCTTTGGAGTTGAGTATTTATTTTAAAACCTTAAATTTCATATTTGCTCAGTACACTTATGTAAATAAAATAAATGTCATAGATTATGATTAAAATTAATTTTAAAATATATTTTTTTATATATTTAGTCAGCAGCTATGATATTATTCAATTATGTCTAAAGTTACCGCATTTAAAATATTTTTTTTTGCGATAAAAAGTAGTCTATGTCTTTTTCCACAGTTTAATCTACTTCTATTTTAAAATTCATCAAAATTGATAAAATGGTTTTGGCATAAAGGAGCTTCAAACATACTCTCACATTATTACGTTATGATTTTGATAGAATAAAAAGGTATTCCACATAGATGACAATTGCCAACGTGCTGCTTTCTGAATTATTCAGTACACCGTCAACACGATTCCATTTTGTGCTCTGCTTGCATTTGACTAACACTCACTGGATGTGAAGTCAAGGAAAATGTTGTGTAAATCTACTCAGGCTGCTTCTAAGAAGCGAAAATTTGATTTATTGAACAGAGTTTTTGTCAACGCAAAAATTTTATTTATTTTTGTTTTATAAAATAATATAATAAGTAATATGTAATTACTTAGTTAAAACACGTTGTAAAGTAATGTATTAAGATTTCAATGAATTTCTTATTTGAACATTTCTAAATCTTGCAGCTCAAAGAAAACTGCTTTAGATTTTCGACTACATAAATCACAAGAAGACGTGCCTGTAATACTAATCCAAGAGACGCCCCAAATAGAATCCTCCCTCTTGCGGATTGCGAATAAACTTGTAGTCCACGTTCAGGGCATGGAAAAATCCAAAGGTCATACTTGTGTCCTTACACATTTTCTAGCGTAGCGTTCCTCCTACGCATCCTCACATCTTTTAGTTTACACTCCCGACGGCTGAATCCGAAAATAAGTTTTAAAAAACGATGTAAAAGCAAAAGCAAGCGTAGGCTGTGAGAAGAGAAGAAATTCTCTATATCATACGGAAAGTGCCAAGCTGTAAGGAGACGTCTATCAAGATGTATAAAAAATAAAAAAAAGTAAAAAGATTCGTTCGCACCTTGGCGGCGCACGTAACGCGCAGAAAAAGCTTAAGAGCTATCAGAGTTATGAGCGACGTTACGTGCGTCGCAAGCCGAGTGCTTTTGAGGTTAGGAGACGTGATTTTGTATTTCAGAGGTGGTGCGCGATGACAATGTGTTCAATGAACGATTGTTGCCGGAGGAGAAACGAATAAAAGGTTTGGTAACAAGAAAACCAACACAAATAGAAGGTATCTGAAAGTATAAAAGGAAAGATAAAAGTTGTAAGCCTTAAAATAATAATTAACTTAGTAGAATTTACTATTATTATTAAAATACAACAAAAAATCAAAATGTGCTTTCTGAATTGTTTATCAAACAACATGACCTCATGCAAAATCTATTTTTCTTAATTTTTGAAGATATTTTTATGAATAACTAGCTTTTGCCCGCGACACGAATGTTGAAGTAGATTTTGCGGTGCCCGTACGCTAAAACTACTAATTTTACAAGAAAAAGGTACTTACATAAATTATAGGATTTCTTCTATTCTAATTTTCTCTAGTTTAATTTATTATATAGATATGTTTATCGTAAAATGAGTCGGAAAGGAGATATGGTCAAAAAACTGTTCTTAGACACCATTTTTCTAAGATGATGGCGCGAGCGAACAAAATACGAGGTGGCAAAGTTTAAATTCGTAAAGAGCACATCGAAATCTATATGAATACCAATTTTCAACAATCCCGCACTATTTTCCAAGCAACCACGTTTTTTAGCACCAAATGACTGTACTACTAGTTCTAAACATAGTATGTGTCAATTCTATCAATAAGATTCGCAATTTTATTTTAAAAAATTAATTATATAAAGAATTGCTAATAATGCACTTCAGCGAGCCATCTCGGATTCAACTATTTTACTATTACAATGATTGAATCTCAATGCCAACTTTTATCCTATAGAAAAGAGCTGTCTTTAGGATTTTCTCGGCAATTATTCGAATTTTTCTCACCGTAAAAACCATCCTTGGACTTTAACAAACATTTTAAAAATAGAATTGGCCAAATTGGTTTATGCGTTGTTGAGTTATGCGCTTACTAACACATTTTGCAATTCATTTTTATATTATAGATTATTTATTTCGTTTTAAAATGCGGAGATTTATTTAATAAGTAAATGATCTAATAAATTGAGTCTTATATTGATGTAGAGTTTAAGAAAATAAATGAAAATTGAATAATCTGTTTGCAAAACAAAGTGTATTGCAACTGAATCGACCGTTATTGCCACCACTTCCGTCGCCCGCTCAACTCACAGACAAATGCAACAAGTTAATTTACGTCGGCACCTACCTATAATATAGCGCCTTGCTGCTTCACCAATGTGAAATTGCTTTTTTTATTGCTCCTCCACTATCGCCTTCTTCGCCGATCACTAGACCGCAGGCAAACCCACTGCCTCCACTGTTTTATCACTTTTTCAATTGAATTCAATTCAATTCAAAGCTCAGCGGCTTCCGTTTTTATAAACACTTTAGTTCTTAATGTATTATCGACTTCAATTCGATTATAATTTAATTTATGACTTTTCTTCGATTTTAATTCAGCGATTAATTAAGAAAGTTTTAATCAGTTTCTTTTCATTAGGTGCTCGCTCAACTGACGTCGAAGAGTGTTCAATTACTTTGAGTGGAAAGTTTCGTGTTGAAATGTTTAAACAACACAAAAACACAAACACCTTCAGAAATTGTGCGTAAATTAAAAACAAATTTTTATTAATTTATTTAAATTTTATTGTTTTTTTACTTTTAATTTATTTTTAAATTGCGTACTTTTTAATTTTATTGTTTACTATTTATAATACGTTAGAGTGATTATCGATTGCGAGTTTATTTCCTCTTGACGCGCACGTCTCCGTCGAACGTGTCGCGGGAGGCGGCGATATACAACTCAATATACACATACACACGAGCTGGCGGTGGCTCAACGTCGACGTTGCACCAGATACTGGCCATGGCCGGGGCCGGCGTCTCCGCGCGTTTCATCCAGCATCCCAGTGGCGTCACGCGCGCCGCCGCCGCCGCCTATCCGCCCCGCTTGCCGTCACCCACCGCCGCTCCGGCTCAGCGAGCAGCGTGCGCGTCGAGGCTGGATACATATGTTGGCGGCGGGGCGCAACAGGCGGAGGGAGGGCCGACGACGGCGAAAAAGAAGCCACCCTAGGATGCATGGATGGTCGCTTCGCTTCGCCGCCGGCGAATCCTTATGCGCACCTTCCGCTACGCGCTAATATCCTTATATTAGACGCTAGACGTCCGCTGCTTGCGGGAATTGTGGTGTACGGCGACGAAGGCGAATTTACGAATCGTTGTGGTGTTTACGTTGATGAAGCAAATAACGCGAAACACTTTGGTTGTGTTTATGTCATTATATCGTGATGTCACTAAAAATTAAATCAGCAATATAGGTTGAAATTTTTAAAACACATTCTACATTATATGTTTTAGTGGTTATCTATAATATAAAAATAAATCGCAAAATCTGTTGGTAAGCGCATAACTCAACAACGCCCTGACCAATTAAGCCAATTCTTTTTTTTTTATGTTTATTAAAGTCCAAGGATGGTTTTTACGGCGAGAAAAATTTGAATAATTGCCGGGAAAACCCTAAAGACAGCTCTTTTCTATAGGATATAAGTTGACATTGAGATTCAATCATAGTTATAATTAAATAGTTGAATTGTTGAATCCGAGATGGCGTGTTGAAGTGCATTATTAGCAATTCTTTATATAATTAATTTCTTTATAATAAAATTGCGAATCTTATGGATAGAATTGACACATACTATGTCTAGAACAAGACAGTAAAAACAAATTACATTTTTTTTCAACGTTTAGTCACGTGAAAAAGTACTTTAGTCACGGCCTTGGCCTTCCGTGTTTAAAGTACCACTTTTTGTGTCTTAAAACCTCGGAAAATTTTGATAAAATGTGGCTTAAAATGAAAAATAAAGTAAATTTCAATTTATTACTTTAATTGTATTATTTTAATGTTTAAATAATAAAGTAATGTTTAAAAAATCATATTTTGTGTTTTATTTAAATATTACTTGTATTTTATTAGGATATAATGCAATTTCTGACTATGAGTATCCACGTCGTTGGTGTCCTGTAAACTCAGAGAGCTGTGATGTCCAGGTAGAAATGCAATTACACCGCAGCGACCACAACATGCTACGGACTATTAATTACGTCAGTTGCTGTTTAGTGGACAACTTTCAATTAATACGTTTTTGTATTACTCATGTTGGTTTAATTAAATTATACTGGTCTAAAATAAAATTTGCTTGAGATAAAAATATCAGCAATAAAATAAAATAAAACGCAACACAATTCAATTCAATTCACAATACACGAAATATGAACTTAGTTATTATCAAAATCTTGAATAATATTTGTAAGGTTTATTTACTTAGGTACATTTAAAATTAAACGAGATACTAGGTATATTTTAAATATTTTATTTGGACTCTGATGTAATAGAGTTGAAATCCGGCTTTGCATCATGTGTAATGTACGAGTATAAAGCTTAATAAGCTTAATTTCACTCCGGAACTGCATATGAATGCTTTTAAATATTTAGAGATTTTTCACTAATAATTTATTCCTAACCACAAAAATGTCCAATATTTACCTTTTAGCTTAAATAAATTTTCCAATTGTCAAATATTATAAATATACTTCAAATGTAAATTTCTACTCAAGTCAACATTACTCTATACTCACATTTAGCCAAAAATTACATTTGAAATGTGAATTGAAAAAAATCTACCTTCACGCTACTCGTCCATGCGTTATTGCCATAACATTGAAAAATAAGCCAGCAAAATACGACGCATTTTCCACGCCGCCAACGACGACGACGATAGACGTAACGGGCGCAAACATATTTTCATTTGGCGCTGACTCGCCGCGCGTAGGATGCGGGAATTGAAGTCGGAGTCGAGGGTGCGGAAGAGCTCAGGAGCTGGGTTTGGTCGAGACGCTCGCTTGGGAAAACACACCACACGAATATTCTCGGCCAAGCCTACAAAATAAAAAATATATCACAAGATTGAAGAATAGATATATTACATTGCAAGTCATATAATATTATGTCAAGCAATGTATGTAAATTTCTTGACATTTTACCTCTTGGAATATCTTCATATACCTACGTAATGTGTGATTATGATTAATCATAGTTAACGCCTGCGATGGTGAGTTTAAGGATATGCGCGTTGTTGTGTTAGTTAAATGTTGGCGCTTGCAATGTAAACTTGCTTGCCGGCTTGATTAATGCTTCATTAAACAAATTGCTATTATATAATCACGCCGCAAGCGCAAGAATCAAGAAGCGAGAGCCGGTACAGATCAGGGGTTAGTTAAATTTAATTGTTTTAGAACTTAGTACTTAGATTATAAACTGTTAAGAAGTTTCGCGTTGCCAATAATAAACTACTTGTGAGATGACACGACAATACTAATGACACCATTAAAATGTTGCGTCGATAAAAAAGAAAACTATATTATTACATTACTAACATCATTAGTAACTAAACTCGAGTATCGTATATATGTCTAATTTAATAAAACGTTATAATACTAGGAAATATGTAAAAATATTTTTTGATTAATCTCTTATGATTATGATTATTTTATGTTACTGCGTTGTGCGAATTTGGGTGTTTCTGTTGCTGCTTCTCACCGGACGCGATCTCATATTGCAGAATTGATCCCGCCGTGTGCGCATGCGCGTACGGATGCGTGTTGCGTATCCGCGCATCGCGGAGAGAACGCGTTGGAAGCGCCATGGAGCCGCCGGCGGTAAAATTTCGCTGCGAACGCCGCCAGAAAATCAACAGTACACCGCCATGCGAAATAATCGCGAGTAGCAAGTGAAATACATTCAGTGATAAGCGACATGCAGTCGCGACATGTACGCGACTACTCCCTCAATCATCTCTTTGTGATCTGTTTACTAGGTAATTGTACTATATTTTTATTATTATTATTATTATGTTAATAAGAGTGAGAGTGTTTAACAGGACAATTCCTACTAACGCACTGTGAAAGTGAGCATCGTACCAAAGCAGCCGCTGAAAAACATCCGGATTTGTATTGTTACAAGTGCGATAATATTGATGGCGATGATGCTTGCCTCAACGTCAATAACGTCACAACGTATAAAGAAAAATGCGAGAAAGAGCATCGTATATGTCAGGTTAGTAAATTTTGACCTATATTATTCAAACTAGGTCATGATTGTAATCATAAAGTGGGTGTGTTTTGTTTTCGTTGGGGTGTTTTTAGGTGCGCACGATAACAATGTCGTCGCAGGAAAACAAAACAGCGCCCGCGAAGCTCTGGCTAGTGAAGCGCGCCTGCACGAAGGTTTGCGAACCGGTTTGCGTGACAATCGGGGAGAGGACGAAGTTGCGCGCGTGCAACACGTGCTGCGAGACGGATCTATGCAATCGTGGTAATTCGGCATCGCGACACGTCGTACATATGGCGCTGCTGCTGCTTGTATTTCTGGGCGTTGCTCTGCTGAAAAGCTTCATTCAGACTACACGATACAATTAACTTGGAGTGCATCAAGCATTTAAAGAACTGATGTATACTGTACATACTTCTTTGTTATTCAACGTCTTTATTGCTTCTTTAATAAAGTTTTAAAACAAAATATCATATAATTTAATTTATAGGTTACACTAACGACATCTATCTTCATTAAATTGAACTAAGTTTAACAGAGGTTAAGTTAGGGTTGTGTAATAATGGAACAAAACAGAATTAATTTTTATACTTGCGACATCCCTACTAATATTATATATGCGAAAGTCCGGATGTTTGTTACACTTTCACGCAAAAACTACTTAACCGATCATTATGAAAATTTGTACACATATTCTTAGTGGTCCCCGAATGGTTATAGGCTACTTTTTATTTAATAAAAAAATATTTTTTAAATAAAATAAAGAAATTGTTTAGCCAATAATGTCTCTGCATCTGGCTATTTGACTACTTTAACGCCATCTAGCATTCCAGCAATGAAGCTCAAACCTAAGTACTATAGTACCATCACACTATATTATCACACTGTATTACCGACAGCTACGTCAACATCAAATCCAATTGACTACACTATGGAGACTGTACACTCTACTTCCATAGACTATACTTTCAGCCATTTTAAACTTCCCGCTATTCTACTTCGTTGTTACTTCTTCTGTGACTACAGACGCGTACGGAATCAACTTCATTATTTTAGATATTCGCGAGCAAAGCCGCGGGTTAAAGCTAGTCTTTCAATATAATATTATACTAACTGTTGTGAGGTTGGTGTTAGTGTTGTGGTTAGGTAGATGTGTATCAAAAACAAAAGCTATTAATAGAGTACTTCTATGCGTTGTTTGAAGAGTTTCCACATATTTCACTCTAATTAAAGCACCAACAGCAAGTTTCTTAATTGAAATTAATTGAGACATTCCGAGACGCGTTCCATTGCGCTTGAATAAACTCGCACTCAAATTTGTCTGCTGCACTCAGAGCCACAGTATTTCATTCAACTCGAGTGCGCTCGCTTTACGATCGATGTAAAAATCACATTGCTTTGAAAATGATAGTCGCATCACAAGTACTTGAAGCGTCAGTACTTAATTCAAATAAATTAAATGTTAGTTGTCATTTAAAGAGTTGCATTTGTTGAGTAAATACTTATTTAACTTGTGTTTAACATGTTTAACTTTATAAACTTTGTTTTAGTTGTTAATTTTGTTATTTTTAATTTTAATAATATAAATAGCAGTGTGTGCTGTGCTTCTGTGAATTCTCATGCTTATGATGTTATTTTTATACGTCAAGGAAAGTTTTTAAGTGTTAAAAATGACTTCGGGAAGTTATATGCGAGCAGAGAAGAGAATGCATCACCGGAAGTTGCGAGAGTGTTTGTGGCTCGCACAACCAAGGAATACTTGTTGGTAAAAGTTGTCAGGAAAACCGCCTCCACGCCATTGTTCATCAACTTGACCAGAAGTGAAGATCTGCACGAAACTACGAGTACGTCGGGAACACTGCTTGAAAATAATTGTTTTTACGGTCGTGGTTTTGTCTTCGAAAAACTAGACAAAGAAAAGTTTCTTGAAGTTTCTAATTCATGGGCTGCATTTACCATATGCCAAGACTATCTAGAAGGATTTCTACACCTGAAAAATATCGGTTTTACACTGGAAAATAACAATTTGTTAGCGAAAAATCAAAAAAAGAAGCGAAATGTGGATTTGGGTCATTTGTCAAAAAGCTTTTTCAATTTAACTGGCGACACATTCGATTCCCTGCAGACGGCCGACATTGTCGACGTCGGACATAATGGTGAATTTATCCCAGCGCCGGCGAATTTGGAAACGTCCATCGCCCACAATGCCCCACATCTCGGTACGTTTGAGCAGCCATACAACCGCAGCAGCTTGCAGGATCAAAAGCAGGGTCGGCGAAATAATAAGGCGAATCGAGTTTATACAAGTCACGTTCAGCTCGACATCGATGCGCTCGAATCGAATTTCACAAAGCGCCGGAATCGGGGAGTCGACTCCAAGCGAAATAACACCAGCAAAACGACAACTACAACACAACTACGCTCGGACTACGAAAACTCGTTGATCGAACAGAACGACGAAGATCTCGGATATTTTACGACTCGGCATGGAAAAGTGTGATAAGTAACAACATCACAATATAAAATTAACCAAAAATTAATAATAATATTTATTTATGTTTAAATTAATAGCAAAAACCAGGACACATAATTTTTCAAAAAATCCACGCAGATTTCTCGAGATTGTAATTGCTGTGGACGAGTCAGTGATCAAATTTCACGGCAGAGTTCGCGTCAAACAATATGTCTTAACTCTCATGAACATCGTGAATGCTTTGTATCAAGACCCAAGTCTGGAGGCAAATCTTCAGATCGTTATACGTGACCTACATCTGTTCGAAAAGAAGCGCAGCGTAATAAAATTGGGGAATGCCAAGAAATCTTTAGAAAATGTAAACCTTTGGAATAAGGAACTTTATAAATTGTATGACGATGATGATGAACCGCATGATATTGCTCTGTGGTTAACACGGACTGATATAGGTGGTCCTTCTGGTTATGCTCCTGTTGGAGGTGTTTGTGATCCGGAGAGAAGCTGTGCGTTGACTAGAGATGAAGGATTAACTTGTGCTTTTATTATAGCACATGAATTAGCACATATGTAAGATGTTTATTTTGTTTTTAGGTTTTTATGCAATTTTAATTGTTTTTTTTAATTTAGTTTAGGTTTATCACATGATGGCGACTCGAAAAATAACAACACTTGTCGGGATGATGCATTACAAGGATCTGTAATGGCCCCGATGGTTTCCGCGACGTTTCATCACTTTCTCTGGTCAGAATGCAGCCGAAAAGAATTTGCAACAAAAGTCAGGTTTGTATTTCGTCCGTGGGTGTTATTGAGTTATATTTATCAGTTTGCAATTTATGTCGTAGTCAATGGCAGTGCTTGCTGAATGCGCCTGATGCTAAGAGATCGATCGAATTGAATTCGACGCTGGGCGCTCGCTTCACGATGGACGAACAATGCCGCGTCGAGTTCGGCGAAGGGTAAAATCTACTTATATCAATCGGCTCGCGCCGCCATCAGTTCGCTTCCGTTCGATACTTGCTCGTCAAATCCGTATTTGACGAGGCAAACGGTCGGCGAGGAAAAATCCCCGCTTGATCCGTTTTATCGCTATCGCAAATTGAGAGCATTATTTCCGCAAATTGAACATGGCGTTCTTCTCAATTTGTTTTTTTCCTTCTTTAATATGATTCAACATGATTTAATTTAATTTTTATATTTTTAGTTATGAATTATGCAGATCTTTTGATATAGTAGAACCCTGCGCGCATTTGTGGTGTGGCCATCATAAATCACCCTTGGTTTGCAAAACGAAGAAAGGACCACCACTCGAAGGCACTGAATGTGGTCCACATAAAGTAAGCTTTCGCCCTGGGATAAATTCATATTGAAATTTATTTCTGTATTTTAAGTGGTGTATTGATGGATATTGCGATAGTACACTCCGGATTAACCTAGATCCGTTGAAATATAATCCACAAGATGGCGGATGGAGTGACTGGGGCACGTGGACACAATGCTCAAGGTCTTGCGGACTTGGTATGCAATTTCGGCAAAGATCTTGTGATAATCCAAGGTAAATTAAACCTGAAAAACATAAAATTTTCATAATATTATTATATTTATTATTTTTAAGACCTGCGTATGGCGGAAATGATTGTGAGGGACTTACAGAAGAATGGCGTGTTTGTAATACACAAACCTGTGCTGATTTAAAAGATTTTCGTGCACAGCAGTGCAATAGAATGCCTAAATTATTAGACGTACCAAAGAATCTAACATGGCTGCCTTATGAAAGTGACCAAATTGATCTAAAGTGTAATTACATCTGTCAAAGTAAAGAAACTAGTGAAATATATGCCAGTGATGAGTTTTTATCAGACGGAACACTTTGTTCCTACGATAGAGATAACAAACGCTGTGTGCAAGGCAAATGCGTCACAATCGGATGTGACAACCGTGTTAATTCCACGCTTATACAAGATGGATGCGGTGTATGCAACGGGGACAACTCGGAATGCCTCCGAATCAAGTCCAACATAACGAAAAAAATTAAAAAACGTAATTTACGATTTCCATTTTTTTGCTCGTTTTTTGCACGTTTTGATTTGATTTAGTGCTAGATTTAACTGATTTATTCGCTTGGATAAATTGTTTTTGCTCCCACTTTTGCAGAAATCACTCGTGTAGGCGTGTTGCATAATCAAGCACGCCACATTGCGATAGAATTCGCACTCCTCTACGATAATCCCAGCGTGCCGCGGCAAATTGATTTCGATTTGTTCCTCAAGGATCGCAAACGCAACGCGTTCCGCATTCGCAAGTCCGCGTTCGGTGCGCCGGCGGGCAGGGAATTCAATCAGCACCGGCGAGGACAATCGCGGGAAAACAACGCGCATCCCAACGATGTGCCAATGGAAATCAACCAACGTGCGGATCAGAATACCCAGGACGGAATCAGCGTGACAATTGTACACGGCGCCAAATTTCGCTTCCATGCATTGGAGACCAGTAATGCTCTTCTGCCACAGAATGAGACTTTATATTTAAGCACTCAGGGACCTGTGCTGAATGAATTAGTTTTGTTTGTAAGCTTTCAATGATTTAATTTTTTCTTCTTTGGGATAAGGTTATGTTTTTAGATTGAGGTTAAACAGTTTAAATTGAGCAATAATTTGAGGCTAAAATGAATATGGAGTATTTATTGCATAAGAAATTTAAAGAATCACGTTATGAATGGATTCTTGGTGGTTGGGGATCTTGTTCTACTTCTTGCGGAGGTGGAAAAATGTTTAAGACGAAAGCATGTGTGGAAAAATCAACGCAACGTATTGTAGCACGTAAAATGTGTTCAATTGTTAATAAGCCACCAACTGAAGCACGAACATGCAATGATTTTAGGTAAATTACACATTTTTTATAATAATATTCAAATATATTAATATATTTTTTCCAGTTGCAATTTTGTATGGATCCCAGGACAATGGGAACCATGCACAGCTACATGTGGAAATAATGGCGTACAACACCGGGAAATCTACTGCGTTCCACAAAATTTACAAAATGACACAACTGACTTAGAATCGGCTCCCTGGAAATACATGTTGCCACCAACAAAATGTGGTTATCAACCACCATCAATACTTCGTCCATGTAATCGTACTACATGTCCAGGTCATTGGGAATACTCACCGTGGTCACAATGTTCTACTTCCTGCGGATTCGGTGAACAAATTCGTGTTGCGCAATGCACGCAACCCAAATCACACTTTACTGCATCAAACCAAAATGATACAAATATTAATATAGAATGTGATTCAATATTACAACCACCACAAATGAAACAAATTCAAAGTTGTGAGAATGTCGAAAAAGTCGATTATGCTAGGCAACCAACCGAACTATGTACAAAAAGCACAGAAGATACTTCACCGTTTTGTGAAATACGATCACTGAAAAGGTATTGTCAAATAGATTCATTTCGGGAGTTGTGCTGTCACAGTTGTAGCTTACAACATGCAACTTCAATATAAATAGAAACGGTTTTGATTAACAATAATACAACAACGATGAGTATAAATTAATACTTGATAATTCAAGTATTAGGTTATCGAGAGTAATATTTAATTGTGTTTTCATTCAATTCAATCGAAACAATCAAGTGATTAGGAGATAGCTTATCATGCCTGATTCATATCTAAATTCGATGCTACCTACCGACTGTTGTCACTCATCGATTGTTAGTGAATATAAACCAAATTAAATGATAATATTTTTATATATTTGATTTAGTTGAGTGTAGTTCTCTGAATTCTGTGGCATTTCAGTGATGAATAAATTTAAATGTTTAACTGGAATTATATTTATGTTGTTATATTTACTAAAAAGTTCTAGTGCGGTTAATAGTTCTAATATTGCCGATTTAGTGAATAAAAATTTAATAAATAGTGAACATTATTGTACTTATCGGTATTATGAGCCGTATCCGGAGTACCATTTTCAATTGTTGGCGGGATGGTCGTGCTATAACTATGCGCATCCAAAGTGGATGAAAAATGGAAAAATTGAAAAAGCCAATCAAGGAGTTATACATAATTTGACCCAATATAAAATTCCGTATATTGTTGTAAGTTTTTTACATGTTAATTAATTTTATCTCAATTTCATTGATGAATTTTTGATAGGTTAATAATAAAAGTGTAGTATTTGATTATAACGATGCAAAATACACGGAAATTATTAAAAATCTCCATGTGGAAGAAAAATATTATGCAAAATGGTTAAACTGTGCCAGAACAGCAATGGAGTGCTGTAAACAGTTAAATAAAAATGATCTGAAACCAAGTATGTTATATTAAAACAAAAAACAAACAATAAAATCAAAACTTTTAGTTTGAAATTTTAATTATTTTATTTAGATGACAATTATCCCTGTCCAGCAATATGGGATGGTTACACATGTTACGAAAAAACTAAACCAAATACCATTGTAAAGAAACTGTGTCCACTTTATTTAACATCAAATGATAAATTTGTCTGCAATCGTGCGTTTTTTTATCATTATATATTTTTTAATTTTAGCTCATTTTAGTTGTGTTTTAGTTGAAAGTGCAAAAGAATGCACCGCAGATGGTTGGAATCATCAAACGGATTATGCTCTATGCTCATCATCCTTTCGTCTACGAGACCGTCACATATTCCATGTTATTTTCTTGGCGGTAGCATCCGCTTTTATGATTCCATCGATTTTTATCTTCTTATATTACGACAAATTGAAACAATGGAGATTTGTTTTACATCGTAATCTTATTCTGGCGATATTCATAAAGAATATTTTGGTAGTTACCTCAAAGAATTTAATAATCATTAACGCTGTTAATGTGCAACAAGAGGAGAGTGTTATGGATAATGATTATACATGGTGCCGAGTATTGACGTTCTTCGAGAATTTATCTAAAAATTTGATTTTTACCTGTATGACAGCAGATGCAACCCATTCGCATAAAACAATTGTAAGAGCATTTGCAAGAGATACAAATGCATATATTATGTATGGAATCATCGTAGGTAATTAATTAAATTAATACAAATGAAATAGTTAAACATAGCTCACTTTATATTTCATTTTACATGGTGTATATAAAGTTGCCTATGATTAATACAAGTAATCTCAGTTAATTCTTGTTATTTATGGCAAAAATTAATTAATATTTTGTAAACATCACCACAGTGTTTACACAACGTCTAGGTTTACCCAAATAGATTTGATAAAAGCATTATCACTTGTTATTCTGCAATTAATCGGTAATTCTGTGGTTAGAAAGTGTTTGAATACACCGACACATTATGTCCAGTCATGTATTTAAATATTCTATATTATTACATCATTAAACCTAATTTTATGCTTTTTTTGTTTAATTAGTTGCATCCACCATTCCAACTATAGTCTGGTCCATCCTAATGGGGTAAGCGATGCTGGAAAATGTTGGGTTTCCGATATTGCAGGCTACCAATGGGTTACTGATGGATATAAATACGCATGTTTAGGAATCAATGTTGTTTTGTTATTAGATATCATCCGTGTATTATTTATGAAATATAGGAAACGTACAGGAAAAAATACCGGGTAGAAAACAGCTTTTGATAAACTTGTGACAAAATATTTGTGATTAAATTGATATTTTAGGAGAGCGATTCGTGCAACTCTTATAATGTTATGCTTGTTTGGCATTCCATTGTTAATATCTGCTCAGAGGAACATTGTTGATGTTAACGACTGCATCGCCAGTGATATTTACATCTATGTGACTTATTCCATTGAAGCAATTCAAGGAATTTTCATGTCTTTAATATTTTGCTACTTAAATCCGGATGTAAGTTCAATTTACTCTTTAAAACCTAGAATTATTATAAAATTTTATGATATTTTAGGCTATTTATGAGATCAAACGTTCTTGGATTCACATGAAACGTCATATGCGAGATAGAAGCAGCGGTTTCAGAGAAACCATCAGAAGAAGAACAACTTTACTTACCTACACGCATACAACACAAGTGTCTACAAAAGTATAAATGTTAGTAATATAACCTATAATATAAATATGAATCACAAAATCTGTTGGTAAGCGCATAATTCAACAACTCATTGACCAATTTGCCCAATTCTTTTTTAAAATGTTCGTTTAAGTCCAAGGATGGTTTTTATGGCGAGAAAATTTTGAATAATTGCCGGGAAAACCCTAAAGACAGCCCTTTTCGATAGGATTGAGTTGGCATTGAGATTCAATCATAGTTATAGTTAAATAGTTGAATATTAGCAATTCTTTATAAAATTAATTTCTTTAAAATAAAATTGCAAATCTTATTGATAGAATTGACATTTTTATTAAACACTACCGGGGTGAAGTCGCGGACAAAAGTTAGTATAAAATAAATCTCATTGTATAACTTACTTATGTCTTACTTGATACGCGAATCAGAAAAGTTGCGGTAACAATCGAAAGGAAAAAGTTACCGACAAACAAAACGTGCAAACGTGACTCGCATGGCTTACAAACTGTCAATGTTAAAGTTTAGACTTAACTTAAGCTGTCTCAAAATTGCCAAAGGTGTGCTCTTGTGCAAAGTGAATCTATTCATCGTTTATTGCCAAGTGGAATAAAATTCTTCATTGCAATCTTATCCGTGCTTTTCTCTCCGTTAAGTAACACGCCGAAGAAGCACCAGGCATATATTACGCGTATAATCTACGAATAATTGTTTATGTTTATGCATTTATTGTCAACGCCATTGCTAAAACTCAATAAAGACAAAAACATGCGCGATGAGTTTTCGGCCATGTTATGACATGATTGCAGTCTTTTGTTGTCTTTATTACATCAGCAATTATTTTATAATAAAATCACCATGGTTAAGATAGCTTAAGATAAGTTGAATTATAAATTCAAACGGTTGTTGTCTTTACCTCTTCATGGCATAACCACATAATTGAATAAGTATTTGAATTAAGTAATTAAATAATACAAGAATAATAAAAACACTTAACAAATGTTAAGTACCTAGAAATTTCTCGAATGTTTTCAATTAGTGTGCTTCATTTGTCGCACGAAGAATTTCAATGTTCCACTTGCAACTTGAGTTTCCAAGTGGTAGTGAAAGTTATTGCATACGTTTAAATTTATATTGTTTATTGTTTAATTTAAATTGATTGTTTAATTATCAATAAATCAACAAATTATAATTTTTGTCATTTAATTTCTCGTTATTACATAAAACTTCAATTTCAATTCAAAATGATTGATTTATAACGTGTTATGCATTCGTGAAATACTATACATTATCCACACTTAAAAAAAAAATGCAATTTTAAGTGTTTTTATTCTGTTTTAGATGTGTAATTATTTATTTCACACTAAAAAAACTGCTCGATTTAAAATTACAACATAACTCGTTCGAAAGTTTTGTTTCTCAAGGTATTCTCAATTAAAAGTGTCATTTTTAGTTTTTCCACTTTATCTGAACTCATCTCAAGCATCTATCTTTGTGGTGGTGGAGACAAACCATGCAATCGATTACGATTTACGACGATTGCTAAACGTTTCGGTATTAATGAATCGCGTCGTGCGGGACTCTTCATTGTCGCGTTGTCTTCTTCAGCGTCGCGTTCTTTCGTCGCGGCGATTTCGTTTTCGTGTGCGATAACTTTCCTAAGCGTCGCCGAGTGATACCCGCACGGAATGAAAAATCGTTTCGCAATCGCCATCGGCCATCGGGGCAATCCGAAGACATGGATGTTTGGGCAACGACATAATAGTTCATCGGAAGCCATCAAACGTATAGGACTATATTTAAAAACAAGTGCAACAGTTTAAATAAACATTTTAATATTTTTTTGGCCAAATTTTAAAGTGATATTAATTTAATTCTGGATTTTTGTAAATTTTATTAATACGGAAATTTTAAAGCAATAAATTTGTGTAGAATTTCTTTATTAGTGGTGATAGATTTATAAATTAAGTGTTTGTAGAATGGACATACTGATGGTGATATTGGCGCTTGCGTCCGTCTTTAGTGCGTTGGCGCAGCAAAGTGGCAATCTCTTGGACACCGTCGGTATGTTCCGGAAACTGATGCACGAAAGCCGAAAGGTACTTGCTGGTTAAGATTATTTCAAATAAATTACTCGTTGTTTGCTAACATTATAATGTTTTCTTCAATTTCATAAATGCTAATGTATTCCTAGTACTTGAGATCTATTAGTTTATCACTTCAAATTACAAAATAAACGAGAAACATTAATATTTAAGGAAACTTTGTAATTATTTGTATTGCAATACAAACTATGTATTATATTTGATGCCAGGGAATTAAATATGAAATTAACGCCATCATTTTGACCCATATTGTTTGTTATAAGTAATAAATAACTAGTTTTGCTCGCGATTTCGTCCCGTTAGTGTTTAATAAAAATGTAATTTGTTTTTACTCTCTTGTTCTAGACATAGTATGAGTCAATTCTATCAATAAGATTCGCAATTTTATTTTAAAGAAATTAATTATATAAAGAATTGCTAATAATACACTTCAGCGCGCCATCTCGGATTCAACTTTTTAACTATAACTATGATTGAATCTTAATGCCAACTTTTATCCTATAGAAAAAGGCTGTTTTTAGGGTTTTCCCGGCATATATTCAAATTTTTCTCGCCGTAAAAACCATCTTTGAACTTTAACGAACATTTTAAAAAAAGAATTGGCCAAATTGGTCTAGGCGTTGTTGAGTTATGCGCTTACCAACATATTTTGCGATTTATTTTTATATTATATATTGATAATCAATTATTTATGAAAACAAACAGTTCAAAAGCTAATTATAAATTAGTGTAAATAGTCATTCATAATTTCTTGTGTTAATTGGCAAAAATTGCTTTTTGTTTCAAGTTTTTTTTTGCCTAAATTAAGATTACAGCATTACCTCGGCTATATAAAATAAAATGTACAATGCAAACACAAACAAATGAAAGTTATTGCTCAACAGCAGGTACTTGTAAAAATTGCGATTACCATTGAATTAAGTATGAAAGTTCATCGCCGCGCACCGCCTCATTACTATTCACTTAGTGCCAGCCGATTGGCATATTTCGATGACTAGCAATTAGCGAAAGATGAAAAAAGAAATCGTCCAGACGCCCAAACTAACACTCTGAATATTAATTAATAAGCATTATGTTCATCTACATTTTAATATTTTTATAGCCTTTATCCGGTAACATAATAATTCGTTACCCGCCGAAGAAACGCAATCCACGAATGCAGAAACACTACTCGGGTGCAAAACCGTTTATGTGTGCGAATTCAACAGCATTTGGTAGATCACCCAGTCGTCCAAAATCAGTTCATGAATTACGACCTGGTGATATTGACGTGATTGCAGCGATGGGCGATTCTTTGATAGCTGGAAACGGAGCAATGGAAGAATGGGCATTTGGTACTATGATAGAATATCGTGGAATATCATGGTGCGTAGGTAATAACCTTAAAAATCAGAAAATTAATTTTTTTATTAAATTTTGTTGTATTTTGATTTTAACAGGAGGTGAAGGTACATGGCGTGAATACCTCACCCTTCCAAATATTCTCAAAGAATATAATCCTAACCTAAAAGGATATTCAACCGGAACCGGTGAATTTCTCTCGGAACACGCGCAGTTAAACGTAGCATTTCCGGTGTCAGCCGATGCGGACGCACTGAGACAAGCTAAGATTTTAGTCAAAAAGATGAAACAACAAGGTGTTGATATACAGAATGATTGGAAAATGATTACGATATTTTTTGGTGCTAATGATTTATGCTCAGCGCAATGTTTTGATAAAGAAGCAGCTTCACCACGACAACATGCAAGGAAATTAATGTTAGCTTTGGATTATCTACAGAGTAAACTACCAAGGACATATATTAATTTAATACCAGTCATAGGTAATATAAATAATGATTTAAATCAAATTAAATTTAAATTTATAATTTTTTAAATTTTAGATGCAACTGTAAGCGTCCGAATAAAACGTTCAATCATGTGTCACATGTTGCATCATTTATTCTGTACTTGTTTCCATCAAGCTGGAAATGTTGACGAAATGTCTACAATTGTGAATTTAACCAGAGATTATCAATATGCTGAGGAATTATTGGTAAGTGTAGATTGGGTTGCCTAACTACAAACCTTAAACTGCTTTTTTCCCTTCTGCATCAATACATATCTAAAAATAAACAAAATTGCCCTTGAATCTTGTCTCATCAGTTATAATATCACGCAATTTGGTGCAATTACTGATAGTCGTACATGCTTTGTACATTTCTACATATTACACGCACGTGTCAATCTATATCTACAAATACGAGTATGTTTAGCAGCGTTTATTTTCATGTCTGTTGAATTTTAACAAATCGCACAGAAAACTAAACTACTTAAAAACTACTAAAAACTCAATATTAATACAATATTATCGATTTTCAGTTAAATTCCGGGCGATACAACATGAGAGATGATTTCACAGTTGTGTTACAACCATTTATGAAACTTTTCAATGCTCCGGATGACCCTATCAGGCGATTTAGTGAAGTGATCGACATCTCATACATCACACATGATTGTTTTCACTTTTCACAAAAGGCCATGCATTAGCAGCGAATATGTTATGGAATAATTTGCTGGAACCAATTGGCAGGAAAACTACAACCAAATTGAGCGGCATTTTAGACGAATTTAAGTGTCCTACAAGTTCCAATCCGTATTTTTTCACGTGGAAAAATAGCAAAACTTTTCTAGAGACTGGCAGCCAATTGAAAACATAACAAATAATTTAATGACTATCGAGTTGATTCTTGACAAATACGCACATAGTGATATTCTATTTTTAGCCTAGACAATTTCCATATGTTGTGTTTATTGAAGTCTAGTCGGTCGTTAAAATTTCAATTACAAAAATTGCAAACATTAAGATTACAACATGCCACGTGGAATTTTGTTATTTTTGTTTCTGGAGCATCATTTGAAGCAATTATTATGTATAAGCATTGAGTGTCAATTGTAAATGTACTGCGCAGTCATAACTTAAACTTAATAACTCGTTATTAATATTGGCTAGTACAATATCACAGACTTTGAACGTCTGTCATTTAGGTAAATGTAAATATGAATGATTGATTGTGTAGTATTAATTTAATTCATTTTTGGCAAAGTAGATCTAATAGGAAACATGAATTATATTATTGTTATTAAATTATATAATTATTGAATAGGTTTCAGTTTAAGCTAACTTGCTAAACACATTTTTTTGTCATAACAAATGTCACAAAAACAGTTGATAAACTGTCGGTTGATACTCATTGAGATGGCTTGAACTATTTTCAACTCAATTTAATCATTTGTTAATTGTAAATAAAAATGCGAAGGCAATGATTACAAGTTCAAATGTTATCGATAGTGAGCACAAGGTCAGACAATTATCTGTTATATTTTTGTGTGTTTTATTCGAAATCATACGAAATATACACAACTTAAACTTTGGGTACCACTATTCTAAGAAGTAAACGGGATTAAATATAATGCTATTTCATCGGAATAAATAGTATTCTGGATATTATATTTTGTTAACAAAAACCATTTAAAGACTGGTGGCTTTGCTACAATTTTAAAATATTGCTTTCAAAATCCTTTATATCTTGTGAATTAATTCATCTATCTTGAATGTTTCTGAAAATTTAAAAACTACTGAAGTACCCCCAAATTCTCAATCAAAAGTTGGCATTTGTTTTGATAATTTGATATTATGGGGTGATAACGTCTTGTACCTGGATAATTAGACTCCGAGATATAAGCGTTTTGCGTGACATTATAAAATTACTCAACAAAAACTTATTTTTAAGGAAAAGATTTAAAATAGTGAGCACCGTATAATTATTATTTTTTATTTTCACCTTTAAAGCGCCTGTTTTACACAGTTTTGAGACACAAAAAGTGGTACTTCAAACACGATCGGCCAAAGTCGTAACTAAAGTACATTAAACTATTGTTTAAAATTAATTCTGCATCGTAGCTTTTGAATGACTGAAAAATCCCAACACACAAACGCTGACCACTGATCCAGATCACTAATTTATTGCCCTCATTTTTCTGAAACTTGATAAACTTTGATAAACTTGACTGCGTCCGAGTATTTTACATTTCAATTGAGGTCAATAATAATACTTGGGAAGTTTATACTCGTACTCTTGTAATAAACATGAAAACTTTATGAACTAATTTATGTCATGTAGCTATATTTGAAACCTTAGATTAATTGTTATTTATTTACAAATCTTCACGATGTCGAGGATGCAGTACTGGTTCAAAACCTGAATATTGCTTTTATTTATCAGAATTGATTATAAAAATTAAACGGAAATATATATCATTGACATGTTAAATGATTGACATTTGCTCCGGATATTTCATGACACAAAGTATATCAATGACCAACAATGACCATCAACAAGTGAGCGTAGCGGAAACTTTATTCCAATGTTTATTGATCTTGTAACATCTTTTTAATATATAAATATAAACGAATACATAGTATATTACATATCAAGTGGCTAAACGGCAGTTTTTTGAAAACGTTTAGCAACCTGGTGCTTACGCTATTTTTTCTACTTCTACTCGATTTCCAGGTTGAGCATTTTATATTTGATCATTTGGGTATTAAGTTTTCGAAATTCGCTCGCAAACTACGGCGAAATGTAAGGTTATAAATGTCGTGCGCACCGACATTAGCATCATCAACACTTGCTTTGATTTGTTTGACTGATGGCGGATGACATTTTATATAGTATTGTGCTACACCAAAAGCAAATGTATAGGCGCAAGCTTCACCTTGTGACTAAAGCCCGTGAATAAAGTACTTTAGTCACGTTCTTAGTCGTCCGCGTTTAAAAACACTTTTTGTGCCTCAAAATCATAAAAAAGTGGTACTTTTAAAAATGGAAAAAAAAAATAATTATTTCCACATATATTATAATATTCTCATATTTCCAATTGCAATATCCCCATATAAACTAAATTTTATCAGACATCATGTCTCTTGATAATTATCCCGCACGACAAAAACTGTTTGAATGCATTTAAAAGTGTGATGATTATAGCAAATACATGTCGCCATTAAACTTTTTCTTCCACCAACGCGTGTCTACATAAATTTCCGAATCTAAAAATTTGTTGCTATGAGCAGTATACGAGTATTTTACGCCAAGGCTGATGCCGACAAGTCAAGTGAAGTCAAGTTGATTCCTATTGACTCCGACTATAGCAAAGCACATTTATTACTCGCACCTCTGAATGTGCAACAGACGCAATTTCCGACTAATAAATTGTTATTAATTTGAAACAATTATCTAAAATTTATTGACATATCTGCCTATCTTTTTACAACCTCTAATAATAGCAATAAAATAATTTTTCTAGAAAAAATTAATTAAATTTACATCATTTGTCATGATTTGAAGTCTTAATTTATAATTTTAATAAATTATCTGGAAAATTGAATTATAATATCAATTATATAAAAGTCCATGGTCAAGTTCAAGACAGATCAAATTATTTAAAAAGAAAAGAAAAAGAAAAAAAACGTTTGTTTCTGTTATTGCTCTATAATTGTTGTGTAAATAGACCTTCAAAGAAAATCTAATTATAAACGTTATTAATGATATTGTGTCAATTAATAAATAATAATTGCTTGCTGAGAAAATAATATCCACTGTAATAATTACATACGAGACACTTTGACGTCAATGTAGCATCGCGCTTGTTTCATCTTGATTTCTCGCGCGCAAATATTGAAATTATTAAATTATGCGACATTAAGCGATAACAATTAATTATGCATAAGCGCTTATTAACTTCACCGCCTACATATAAATAAATATTACCAATTGAGTAACTGCGTTTTTATTGTATTTTGTATTTTTTCTGCATTGTATGAAGTAATTAATAGATATGTGTGCACAAGCGTAATTGTAATGTGCGTTAATTTGATTTTTATCAACTTTTTCACGGTGGTTACGTACACGAAATTACTAATAATGCATTTTAAAATAGTAGAAACGGTTCGAGTGCATTAAGCAAATGCGTAGCATGAATATTGTCAAATAATCGTTTATTATTATCAAACATTAAGCATTTTTGAGGCGTAGTAGACCAATCAAACACGAAAACAATTTTTTATTCTTGTGTAGACAATTTTAGTAATGGAAATTTAAGTTACGTAGGAATACAAAAAATGTATTGAAATAATGAAAAATTAATTTTAAAATTTGCAAATTCATAGCCAAAACAACTAAAATTGATTGCATAAATTTAAAAAATAATCTATACGTGTTTTTGGAATATTTTCAAATTTAAACTGTAAAAAAACATAAATGCTCATGTGTTCTATGTAAATGTCCGGTTTTATTATCTTCTATGAATAAATTTAGTCTAAAAATTAACTTCCACTTCCATCTGACCTTTTGTGGTTATAAAATGCTAAAAAATACAAAACTTCTTCAATTTAAGATTCACGTTTACTGCCGTTGTAAATAAATCAAATCTTAGCTCAAAGATATTTATTAATCATAGAAACATTAATTATTAATATTAACAGACAAAATATGTGATACTATGAGTGATTCCTGCCGGTCTACGTGACTCTTGAGGTGTAGACAGCACCATATAGCCCACGCGCACAAAAACAAGGAAGTTTCCTACGTGATCAGAACCTTAAGAAATCAATTATTTCCTGTACGATGCAAAAAACGCGACTAATATTTCGCTAAAATATCTCGCGAATGCCAGCGATGCTAGCACGCAGTTAATTTCCGATTCTTTTGCGATTTTCAAGGATGCGCGCTGTGCAAATTGTGTTTTTTTGTGCGAATGTTATTAATAACGAGTAAACACGAGTATGAATTGCAACACGGCTGTTGTTGATGTTTTTCTCTGCGCGTGAATAGGAAGTTTGAAACATTATTTGAGTTCCTGAAAAGTTCATTTATCATTTTAACAATTAAATTAATTAAATTTTATTAAAATAAAATAAAATATTTATAATAAACTAGCTTTTACCCGCGACTTCGTCCCGGTAGTGTTTAATAAAAATGTAATTCGTTATTACTCTCTTGTTCTAGACATAGTATGTGTCAATCCTATCCATAAGATTCGCAATTTTATTTTAAAGAAATTAATTATATACCTAAAGAATTGCTAATAATGCACTTCAGCACGCCTTCTCAGATTCAACTATTTCTATAACTATGATTGAATCTCAATGCCAACTTTTATCCTATAGAAAAGGGCTGTCTTTGAGGTTTTCACGGTAATTATTCAAATTTTTCTCGCCGTAGAAACCATCCTTGGACTTTAACGAACATTTAAAATAAAAGAATTGGCCAAATTGGTCAGGGCGTTGTTGAGTTATGCGCTTACCAACAGATTTGGCGATTAATTTTTATATTATAAATTCCTGTTGCCTACCTGAAACAACCATTTTACTTCTATATTTAGCCAACGTCTGTCTCGTGTCTGAAACAGGATTCCTCCAAGAAGTTATTTTTAATCCTTGCGTTTTATGTCCTTGATGCGACCCATTTAAAGCCATAAAACAGTTGAAAAAAGTCTTCGGCGAACGCATGCGAGAAGACGCATTGACGTCAGTGCGTGCTTAAAAGTTAAACTGGTTTTGCAAAAAGCGTCGATTCCATTGCACCGCTTGCGTATGTTGATGTTACTTCTTGCTTCTTGTCGCTTGCCCGGACGCAATTGTCCGCGTCGTAGGAACCAGTATGCAAAACTACTAGTCATTGCGAACGCGAGTATTAATTGGCGTCGGGCCGGTTCTAAGAAACGCCATCGAATAAACATACTGTAAATATAGAGACGTACACAAAGTTTGCGGACGTGCGTGCGCGACATTGGCATTTGGCCTTCGCGGGGATTCCCGCTGGACGGTAAATATTATGCACCATGTCGCAGGTTAGTCTGCAATTAACCAACTTCTAGAATTTTCTTCGCAAATTGAAAACTCACTAGCCATCAAACAATAATAACAACATAAACTCTTTAAATACTAATGTAATGGAATATTTTATTTATTACCAAGCAAAAAGGTCAAAACTGTAAGATTTATTTCAATATCAACGAGTTTCCTTATTTCCGTTGAGAATATTTTGTTTACGCAAATTTACAATACCAGTTTACAGGATAGGAAATAACATGGTAACATGAATATTATGCGTGAGAGTCGAAATAAAACGTAAACAAACTTGAACTATATCATAACAATTTGTAAATACACTAATTTGACCATATGACGCTCTTGAATATAGGCGTCTAGAAGGAGGGAAAGACAGAATGACCGCAAGGCTTCGTACGCAATGTGCAAATAGTGGTTTCAATGCGATGAGGCTTGGGAGACAAGATCAAGATCAAGCACAGTTGAACTGCGTGCGTCATTGACCAGTTTCACGGATGGAATAATAATTGCGTCTCTCTTTTAATTTCCAATTAAACAAATTTCGGAACAGCCGGACGTCAGCACCTCGATAGTTAAGCGCCAGATTTTTGTAAAAAATTTGCAAATATTTTGAATTGTTTTATACTGCTGCGCAAAATGTGTGTTATTATAAATTTGCCAAAACACGTGCTGAAAATTTTATAAGAAGAAAAGTAGAAAAAGATTTTGGAACATGGTTCAAACAAAATTTTATGTTAATTGCCATTTAAAATAGTCAATGTCAAAGATAAGATTTACAATTTTTTAACGCCAAATAGATAAATGTTTGTTTTTAGTGTTTGTAAAAAAAGTTTCAAACTTAACTTTCACTAAATAAAACGCATATGAAAATCGTGCCAAAAATCGTGCTTTAAATGACACATAAAAGTCCTCTAGGCTTTAAAACTACTTTAAAACACTAATAAAACAACAGTATATTACAACTCAAAGTAAAACACAATAATTATAAAATATTCATATAAATTCCTATCAATAATTTGATGTATTTGTTCAGAACATCGAAATTTTTAAAATTACAACAAATATTTGTACATAGATAAAATTTGACATGACTTTCACATATTACAAATTCTGTGATATTGAAGTAATGTTTAAAAATGAAACCTTTAATTAGAAATGCATAACATAACAGAAGCGCACGTTTGCGCGTGGATTTATTTCCGACGTGCGTAAAAAGCATCATTCAAACCTGCTCAGAGACTCTGACGTTAACACGCGCGCACGCCGCCATCGAAACGTCCGAACTTAAGTAGTAATAATAAGGAAAAACTCGACCGGCGCTATAAAAGCAGCGCGCGACACGAGGAGACAAGTTAGTTAAACGTTCACGTTCACGTTCAACGCTGCCACCAAGCTAACAGCAAGAGAGATAATTAAACACAACCGTTATACAACATAAACTATATAAAGTTTAAAACAAAAACTTGAGTTAAAAGTTGAGTTAAGTTAAAGTGCTACAAGTTTGATAAAAATTTGGAAAATGTATACCAATCCATTCAACCGCAAGCACTGCACGATCAGGCAGATGATCGACAAATTCCTGCATCCGGATTTCAACAATAATCGTCCGTGTGCAGTGAAAAACAAGAGCAAATCAGTGACATCGCTTTCGTCTACTGGTTCATCCGACAGCACGGCGAGTTGTTCCAGCTCAAGATCAAGCTCGAGCAGTAAAATGTCAATCTTCTCCTCGATGCGTCGCAACAGGAGCCAAATCTACGGCATTAAATAACTCCAGCGTGATTTTCTAAAGTTTAATGAATAACTTTGAGGAAAAGTAAAGTACGCATATGTTTGCATCGTTGTTATTTGTGTGTTGAGACTACAAATGACTATCACTATGGAATGACATCTCATAGATGATGAAACGTCAATTCAAGATGAGAAAAAACTGGGAATTCACAGCTGCATTAACTTCAAGGTAATTTTTTCTTATATACCGTCAGGATAAGAATAAACATTAATAATAAAATTATCTATACTATTGTGTTTTTACATTTCACATTTAGAACGAACATTTAATTAATATAAATTTTATTATTGTTACAGATAAATGCAGAAAAACACTGATCCGGATTGGATTTTCTCTTGAATGTCAAAGTAAACAATGAATTCTTGTAAATTTGTAACTTCTATGAAGTCTATGAAGTTTATACAGTAATAAATGAATTTATATTGAATTTGTACAAATGTTTGAATTTATTTTATCCAGAGCCATTTAGCTCTGTGATCAATAAAAGCACTCACACTGAATAAACATACTCATATACTCGTAATGCACTGATAAATATTCGCACTAACGACGCGATAAGAAAATATCAGGCGACGTTGTTGCATCATATCTACCCCACATTTACGAATTGCTATCAGCTCATTATTTCACATGCACGAGACATATTTTACTACTTGCTGATTGGAGAAAAAAGACATCACAATTTGTGCAATTCATTCTACACGGTTTATGATGACTCGTGTCGAACTAACAAAAACTATATACGTCGACGCGTAATTGTGTTTTCAACAAGGCGTAATTAATAATAGAGTTTACAAAACAACATTTTATATTTCGACGAATTTTATACTTTATAGTTCCTATTCCTATTCTATTCTATGAATAGGAATCATTAGTTTTTTAAAAGTTTTGTTTTCTGTTTTAATTTTTTTTTAAATTAAAAAAAATCATTACATAAGTTTATTTGTATTTACTGTCGCTGAAATACACGACGGAATTTTTGTGCGTGTAGTGAAAATAACTGAAATAGCTTTTTTTGCTTTCTTCTATAAATACTCGTACAACACTTCTCACGTTACAAAACACGAGTTGTACCAATTTAAAGCTCCCTCTCCGATACATATCTGCTGTATTTTTATTTTTATGTGTATTTTACGGTCACTGAAAATTTGCCGCCTGAATGGCGTGTTCCTGTTGGTAGGGCCGCGTGCCTAAATCTTATAAATAGTATGTGTAGACGTCTGTGATGGTCACAAGTATCCGAATGACATTAAAGCTATTTTAAGTCGGAGATAAAGTTCGGAATCACGTTGTCTGCTTGGATACTATTACAAAAGTGCAAGAGTATACAATTTTAACATGTTCATGTATATTATTCGTCTGCGATTAGTTTGCAATATTTCGATAAACTTGAATTAATGTCAAATTTGATAAGAAAGTTTTAAGTCGTATTCTGGGGAAATATTCAGTCGGCAATTGATATTATTAATTTAATTATTGATTTATAGACTTAACAATCTTTATTATTGCTTTAAATCTCTTTAATTGTATTGGGAATGATTTTGTTGACAATTTAATTATTTATTATAATTGTTATTGCTTTAAATTTAATTTTTTAAAGTTAAAAGTTATGTTTTTTTTTTACTTTCGTCTTTAAAGCGTCCAATTTTCTACGGTTTTGAAGCACAAAAAGTTGTATTTTAAACACCGACGGCCCAGGCTGGGACTAAAGTACATTAGTCACGGGTTTTAGTCACTGGGTGGAGCATGCGCCTGTGCATTTGTTCAAATACAAAAACCGCAACGTGAAAATAGAGTAAAAGAAGAAAAAATAGCGTAATCATCACGTGGCTAAACGTTGTTAAACACTCGATTTATTAAACGCTCGCTACCCTTGCTCTTAGTCAATCTTGTGACCAAAACTCCTGTTTAGTCACTTAATACTTAATATACTATTTTTATGTTGGTTTAATAATACTGATTCATAATTTCTTAGATTTTATCACATTTCCTAAAAGAAAATTTAAACTTGCGTTAACCGGTTACCTGTAAGTGCAAATATAGGAATTATTTAAAGTTTATTTATCGTTTTCCGTCTCAATGTCATGTCCAGTGCTAAATAATCGAATCCACAGACTCGGAAATACCATTTCACAATAATTGAAATCCGAGACTTTAGCTAAAACAAAGTTAAATAAATATTAAGTGTTAACAGTTACTAACGTATAAGCAAGCATATAATTAAAAAGTTATTTTTAAACGGCGAAGAAATGCGTACATCAAATGAATATTGATTAAGTACGAACACATGACGTCAATACTACTTACATTCCGTTAGACAAGAGCGTTGTGTCACAAATCCATTAAGTGAAAATGAAAAACTCGATAAGTTTGTACATGCATTGTCGCAAATGCTAAATAAAATAAAAATAAACAATTGCAGTTTCATCGGGATGCAACTAGCAACAGAATGTGCACTCGATGATACTTGATACCGATTAGATTAGTTTACGATTGCAACGATTGCAATAATAAAAATAAAAATGTTTATTAGAAATAAATTGACCATGTATCAAAGACTAGAGTGAGCATTGTGTTGCAATCTATTTGTTAAATGGCTCGATTGGCTGCAATTGAAACCCACGACACTTGGATCAATTAAGATAAATTATTGTTGGCGACTGTTAAGTCTATAGTTCGCGATTTATTTAGGTGACAAAGATTACATATTTAAACAATGGTAGAAATTGGTCATTTGTTGAGTTTGCACGCAATACAAATAAATTATACAATTGTGAATTTGTACGCATCGCAAAGTAAACTACATATCTGTTAATAAATCTTAAATCTAGATGACTTATTTCAATATTCTTTACCTTTATGAATTTATTTCAAGCATTAAATAGGATAAAGTCAAAGTAAATTGATAATAACTACTATTGGGGTAGTGACAGAATGGAAATCAAATAGGATGAAGTAGTTTATGATAAAGTAGTAGATTCATTCACATATTCTTTACATTTATTATTTTAAATAAATTTTGCCTAACATTTCAAGCGCGAATTGAGATAAAGTGGACGTGTGATCATAAAATCCGCTGCGAAGGCCCGTGGATATAAAACATTGCAAAAATGATATGATCGCGGGAATATTTTTAGTTATAACGGACATTCTAGCGACATCTCGGAAAGATTTTAAGAGGCCAGTTTGAAATCATCTGCTAGTGTTATTGAATCAGATATTTGAAAGAAAATATATGATTTTATGACAAATATAATTTTTCATTGACTATTTATGCAGTGTATTATGTTTATTCGTTGCTAAATGAATGAATATTTGCATTAAAATTACAAAATGTAGTTCATTAATTTTGAATTAATACATTCTAGCGACATCTACATTCGAAGCGTGTACGTGTGACACACGGTCACTGCCATTTAAGTGCGTGACCATACACTGACCCACGAAGTATAGATATAGGGAGTCCGAACGTCATGTTAAATTAATGGTCACGATCTAGGGGACCAAACATTCGCCAATAGAACGCGCCACTATGCGTTAGTGTACTCGTTTAATTAAATACTTACATTACTATGGACACCGCCTGAAAAAAATTCAACATGAAACAAGAGATAATCCGTGACATGAAGTATAGATACTGAGATAATCTGAATAGTAATTGTCTCCCCTAAATTATGATTGCAGTCACCAATTGTTGAATGATCTACAATATCTATATCAATTATATTTTCGTTGCTATCACTAATAATATTAGACTTAGGTTCCGCTTCCTTCTTTAAATGAACTCTTTGAAACTCATGTACATGTACACTACCATCTTTTAGAACCGTTCGATCATTTTTAATCACATTCTCTGGATTGAAATATAATTCACAAATATAGCTGCTAGCTTTCAAATTTTTGCCAAGAGCAGAACTCCATTTCTTGCACAATTTTGGGTCTTTAAAAAAGAATTATATTTCAATATTTCACAAGATACATGAAATTATGACATATGTTTAAATCTTTGGGCTATTAGTTATAAACTAATTGCTTATAACACATATTTTTCAAAGATATTACTCACCTTTGGTGCTTTGAATAAAACTACTTTTTCTACCTTCTCACTAGTCTTTCAGCCACTAAAACATCCTGGAATAGCACAACACCTTCCCATTTTTTAACACTACTAATTTTCAATAAATAAATTAGTTCAAAAAAATAATACTATCACGTTCCAATTCAAATTAATGTATACATACATATAAAAGTTAACAATATGGATAACGCATTCGACAAATTTAAAAAATATGTATTTTTAAATTTAATTGAATTATAATTAAACATTCACAAACCAGCACGTGTTCACGTGTAATAATAATCACGAAGTATCTAAAAACAGGAACGTCATGTAAACAAATTGTCTCAATGTTGCTATGAACACGAACCAACGTACATCGGTTCACTCGCAAACAATGCGCAGCCAGTGGCAGAAAAGAGAACTATTAGCTTTGTATATAATTGTGAACCATGACTACGACGAAAAAGCCTATACCGTTCGGACTCCTTATATCTATACTTCGTGACCATATTCAATGTTGATAATGATTTATTTTGTTTTGTGTATAACTAGTGGACTCTATAAGTCGCATTTGAAAGGATTATATGATATACAATACGGTTTGAAAATTTCGGAGTAGATGTCGGTACGCGTATCAAAAATTACTTTCGAAAGATTTGACTTCATAAGTTTTAAACTATACTATTGTATTTTCTTTTGATTCTTAATTGACAAAACAAAAAAAAACATTTTAAAAATTTATAAAAATAGTACAATACCACAGAAATTCAAGCCTATACAATTCAATAAGGTGTTTGTATAGAAACAAGGCAGAAAAATATTATTTTAGTGACGCTTTTCCATGAAGTTTTTGCACCCGAAAGCACAATTAACGTTTAATAGATTTTCAATAAACGAAATTGAAGTGTAAAATACTATCACCTAACGTGAAAACATTCTTAAATCTAAAAAATATCAATGATTTCAAATTTTTCTACATTTTTATTTTATTTTTGGATATAAAACTTTCATAAAAGTTTATCAAATTCCTCTAAAGCTTTTCTTTTCTGTATCACTAACATAGTTCCGCTTTTCGCCAAACGGTTGCGACTCTAGCAACTTAAGCTCGATTATAAAGTAGCTTAAGCCACTTCCACTCACCTGGTCCACCACAACCACACTATTTCCATTGGTAACCATCGCCTTCACCTTTTTCGAAATGACGCCTGACAGTTGCTGTGTTTCTGTGCTGCGAGTGTGACCGCGCACGAGACGACGGCGTGCAACTCGCAGATATTCTTCCATTCGGCGGCTACGCAACTTTCTATTCGCCGCCTCGAAAATGTGAAAAATCGCCACGAAAACACGACAAGTGCCTGGGAAAGTGTGTGAAGATGTGGTGCACAGTACCGGACTATAATTATCCACTCAAACATCACAAATAGTGTAAAAAGTGCAAAAAACTTGTAAAAAAATATATAACACCCGGAAATATGCTATAAACAGTGTAAAATTCATAGTTAATTAATTTGGGTGGTGGTGATTCATCAAATAGCAACAAGTGGGAGACTTCAACGTGCGTCGAAACAAATCCAATACTAATTGCATTAATTAATCAGTAATTATTTAAAGTAACCTTGACAAAGAGTGATGAGATGTTGTAGGTACGAAATAGTGAATTAGACAAATTACAATTCGGCACGAACGCTGCTAATTTAAGTTCAATCACAAGTTCAAAAGCGCAAATTGACGTCACTAATTGTACATTACAGGTGCTAAGTGTAAAGCTTTCGAAATTTTATCCTCGCATAATTTGCGTGCATATTCTACACCTCTACACAGCTAATTGCAGGTGATTAAGACTTCAATTGGCATTAAAACATTCATAAAAGTGCTCGAATGTTTTGGACATTAACTTAATGTGATAACACACTCGTTAACATCGTGAAATTCCAATAGGTACTAAATACTAAAACGTTAATGATACGTCTTTTGGCAATGTGTGTTTTTACATAAATCGAGTGGTACCATAGCACGCGATTCGGAGACACGAAAAGAGAAAAAAAGTGAAATTGGATGTTTCGGTGTCACGTGTGCATAACTGTGTTTAACCCGTGTTTGCATGTGTGTGAATACACATCGCAGGTGACGCTGATATTGAAATCACCGATCGAAGAGATTTTTTTCGACCGCTTCATTCACGTGACGCACCGTGGAATTTGAAAGATATAGGAGTATTAAGTGTGCTAGAAAGTGACGCTTGGCGCACCTCGTTCGGACGTTGTATGGACTGCCGACGACGGCGACAACGGCAAGGAAGTCGCTCGCCATTATGGAGTTGAAGGAACTCTTCGGCATTGTCGTTCTAGTATGGATGTTTACGTGCAGAGGTAAAATTCCTACATACTTGTATAAATTTTTTCACATTTTACATTATATTATGGTAAAAACAATGAAAATCTAAACAAAATTATATTTTATTTTACACGTACTAACAATATACGTATAATAATCATGTATAAACACTTTGGAAAGGAAAGTTTTACCCGGAATTTATTTCACTAAAATTTAGCGCTAATTATTGAACTAAACATGAAATCACAACATTTATGTGACTAATGAAAGAATTTTGTATTGCACAATGATAATTTAAATTTTTATTGCAAAACTAATAAAATATTTCGTAATATTTCGAAAATAAGATCAAGTTTTAAATTATTTTACGTTTATGATCAATTTAAATACAATTCAAATTATGCAACCCACTATACACTAATAGCACTGAGTTAATATGGAATGTATAAGAATATTGTGTTTTATATATTGATATTTACACATTGTTATACATAGATTATTAATATTTAATAATAATAATAATATTTAATATATTTTTAGAGTATTTTAGCTATAAAATAAATATAAATAAATTTTTAGGTTAATTTTATACTTTTGGTTATACAATTTGAATCAAAACACCAACACGTGTGTTTTAAACCATTTTCTGTCCTTCGAATGACGATTTAATTTTGATTCATTCCGTTTTGCTTCTGTTTGTTTTGTTTTGACTGCCAGGAAGCTGTCGCAATAGAGCCTCACCTTTACCTCAATGATAATATACGCTTTACATCTACATAAACCGAATGTGAGGCTCGCTGACATTCAATGTCCATCGTGTACAAAGCGCTGAATGGTTTTCAATAACAGCGCAATTATTTTCTGGGCCGCAGTTGCCTCATTAGCGCCGCGCATTGAAATTGAAATGTGCATTGAATTCTTCACAATTCATTTGCGTAGAGCGATGCGCACTCGTTAAACTCGTGCATAAGTATAGAAAGTGTGGATGAAATTACATTGTTTGTTAGTTTATGTCAGACCTGAAGGCATTAAATGTATCGTGTAAAGGAAACATCATTTGCTTTGAAAGTTCAGTACTTATACTCCTAGTGTGTTTATGTTCAGCGTCAAATTTAATTAATTTTATAACAAGAAGAAGAAGAAGAAGAAACTGTGCAAAAACTGTGACTAGATGAACTAGTTTTTATTTTATATGCATCATTAATTATATTGAAATATTTACACAAACATTTAACTAGATTTAAAGTTTGACCTTGTTAACATCTATTGTTCCATTGAAATCTATTATTTCGACATGTATTCTTTGATTTTTGCAACTTATATAACTCACATGCGAGAAATATATCCGAAACGTTTTTTCGACAAAAGTATTGAACAAACTAATATTTTCCAGGCGTGAGTGCCATTATTGTAATGAAAACCAAATATTCTAAAAATAGCGTGTTGCGCGAATATCATGCATATGATAATTCATGTAATATCAAAGTGCATGCACAGCGGGTACGAGTCTCTGAGAAAACGCGTTTTTCACACGAAACTCCGCAAAACAATTAAAACGAAACCCAGAACCGCATCTATGTACGCGCGGCATGGCCGGAGGGGATAATTAGATAATTAATTATAAGAATGATGTTGTTTTGCGCTCGTCCGTGGCATGCGTGTGCATGCACTGCTTAAATTGCAAAAATGCTAAATTCTTGACTGTGATGAGTGAACACTGCGCATGCGATGCTTAGCAAAATAGTAGTCATTAAATTGCATTTTATTTGCATGTAATTTTTTGCATTCCATTGGAAAAGAGTAATTGCTGACTTTTAATTACTCACATTGTAAATAACTTGGTAGAAAGATGTTAAGTAAAATTTTAGACATGTATTAACTAATGAAAAACACAATTACAAGCTTTTTTATATGCATTTTGCTTTTATTTTCTGTTTTAACTATTGTTTGATGTGGTTTTTAGTCATATAAACGCATTAAGTAGATTTACCTACCAAATGATGATTAAACTCATACGTAAATTAAGCAATCGTCAAATTTTAATTATAAACTTGCTTTTGCTCGCGACTTCGTGCCGGTAGTGTTTAATAAAAATGTAATTCATTTTTACTCTCTTGTTCTAGATATAGTATGTGTCAATTCTATCAATAAGATTCACAATTTTATTTTAAAGAAATTAATTATATAAAGATTTGCTAATAATGCACTTCAGCGCGCCATCTCGTATTCCACTATTTAACTATAACTATGATTGAATCTCAATGCCAACTTTTATCCTATTGAAAAGAGCTGTCTTTAAGGTTTTCCCGTCAATTAATCAAATTTTTCTCGCCGTAAAAACCATCCCTGGACTTTAACGAACATTAAAAAAAAGAATTGGCCAAATTGGTCTATGCGTTGTTGAGTTATGCGCTAACCAACAAATTTTGTGAGTCATTTTTATATTATAGATTATGTTTTGGGAGGTTATGTTGCGCACTATATTACAGGTTTGCATCTATTCTATATAAAATCATTATTTTAATTCCTGTGAATTAATTTTCTGATAAAAATCGATAATAATTTGTCTCGTGTTACTATCGCCGTATAATTTTGATGTTCGCTTGAAAATTCCCCGCGTAGATTTAAGTCGTTTCAAATATAATGGGAATACCTGTCAGTTGCCGCCTAAACCTTGCAACTAGATGTTAACTTGGAGGATCAAAGCATTTCTAAGACTTGCATTTGGCAAGAATCTAAAACTTTTTATGTCGTCCTCATAGCTCCTCACAAAATATAAATAAAATCAACATGAATCGCATACTTTGTGTGGCTTTGCGGTGCGCTTTCGTGTTTACGGTTTAGGTTTCAGTTGTCGTTTGGTGCTTGATGTTCAGCATTCGACATTCAAGTTTCGAGACGACTTCGGACGCAGTTTCAAGTTAAGCCACGAGAAGAGAAAGCGATATCGTTTTTTATGTCCTTGATGCATGCTTTCTTCGCCTTTGTGCGTCCATACCACTAAATTACAGCCATTTTTCTTTCACTCAAACATAATTTATGTTACTATTAATTTTAGTTTTAAAAAATCAATATTTTTACGGTTTATAACAAAAAAATCACAGCTGTAAATATAAAACTATTTTAATATCAGGATAATAAAGATAGATTTACAGTTGAACATCCGTGCGATGCTCCACACTACGACTTAAAACAATGAAGCACTTAGCATGTTAAAACTTGAGAAATTTCTTCAATTCCAAGCACAAGCAGTTTTAAACTGCCGTCAACCGCTGTGGCTGACATGAAACTTTTAAGCTCAAGTTCTAAGTAGAAAAACATGTTATTCGAATCGTTCTCAAAATTCAAAAACCCACTCAGTTATCACACAAATATCTTAAGCCTCTAATATTTTAAATCCTTTAATTTTCGCTGAACTCTCAATGAAATTGTTTACAAAAATTTATTTATTTACAACGCAATACTTCTCCGAAACGTTTTGTCAATGTTTGATTTCTTAGAAGCAGTAATTAAAGCATTAGGCCGAAAACATTTCTTGGGACTCAATGCTTATTGTGTTAATTTTTGCGCCGCCGTAAATTTTCCACCAACTTTTTCAATTTTCAACTTGGCGTAACACCGTTCCATAAAAAGAAAAATAAAAAATGAATAATTGTTAAAAATATGACGGAATTTTCAGCGTGTTGCGCTAACAAGCGAAAATTATAATTATAACTCAAGTTGGAAAAGTTTTACGATGGCGTTAATAACTTGATACATGATTGGATTATTAACTTTTTGGAAAGTTGAGGTTAGGTGTAACTATGGCAACCGCCAACAAACAAATCTAGTACAATGCAAATGGTGTTACACTTGAGTTTCGTATAAATAACAGGTTGATATAAGATTGAAGCGCGAAAACTGAGCGCGGCCGTAATTGCAGGTCGCTTAAACAGAATTTTCGTTTGTCGGTGCACGGCACCAACTTTTACGATCGGTAAATATAGTATCGAGACAGGCGATTGCTGTTGTTGAATGGTGAGCGGCTGGTTGGAAAGGCCGAGCGAAAGAACAGGCAGAAGTGAGTTAGTGAGCCAGCGACACGCAAGTAGGTCATCTGCGTCGGTAACGAAGACGGTCTTCGACGTCGACGGCTTCTTCGCCTGCTTGGCTCGCGGTCGTCGAGTAAAAGCGCGAAACACACCGAGGGAATAATACACAAAGAACAACAATCGGTGTGGAAAGACTGCCGGCGCGAGGTGGCATAAATAAATTCAGCATTTACCAGTAAATGAACATATAATACAATATTTAAGTATTAAAATTTTAATTTAGTAGTTATATATCGACAGGATATAAAAAAATATAAAAAAGTCAGAATCAACATCAAACGGATTTGGTCGTTTAGAATTTAATTCAAGCATTTCCACTTGCTTAAAACTTTCATCCGCCCAGCGTATTGTGTTGAGTAATTACATAATTCTTTACTAATTGTCTGAGAATGGCGCTTATTGTGAAAATTTAACCGTGCATTATGAGTGCTGATGCAAGAATGGTAAAACGTTCATTTTCGGTCACTTGGATGTCAAAATATTTTGTTTTGTAGATTATATAAGTTTTTACTGCAAGAAAATAAAAATTATAAATATTTGTAAAAGGTTATGGATAAAATTTCCATCTTTTCGTGGAATAAAAAAAAATTGGAAATACTACATTCATAAATAAATTGCACGTTGGTGACGCATTTTGCTTTCACTTGTTTACAGACACTGCCGTCGTATATCTTAACAGGATATAGCTTAATTTTGCGCGCCGCGCACACCTACACACGCACACACATACGCACAGCTATTAAAATAGAGTCTGCTGGCGTGCGCGAAGAAATAAACGCTTGCGAAACTCAAAAACACACCGCGAAAGGAGTCGTTCGCCAGCGCGAATACCTGCAAAGCAGCGTGCAAAAGTCTCTCGGTGAAATATACGTGCGTCTCGTCGCTTACGTCACGACAGGTTTCACGGACGTCGTCGGGTTGTCGGAGGCTGTTCGCCAGCGGCA